TGGAAAAGACCCTGATGCTGGGAAAGATTGAGAGCAGGAGGAGAAGGGGACGACAGAGGATGAGATGGTTGGATGGCATCACCGACTCAATGGACATGGGTTTGGGTGGACTCCGGGAGTTGGTGATGGACAGGGAGGCCTGGCGTTCATGGGGTCGCAAAGAGTCTGACACGACTGAGCAACTGAACTGAACTGAACTGAATTCCCACATTGCAGGCAGATTCTTTGCCAGTTAAGCCACCAGGAAAGCCCTAATTATTCTCAATTTTAGTATGAGGAAAGAGAGGCATAGGTAAGTAAATTGCCTAAAGTTAAAAAGATAGCAAGGGATAGAGTCAGGGTTCTAACCCTGGCAGTTTGCTGTAAGTCCAGCTTCCTTAACCACAGCTTTGCCCAGTTCTTGTAGATAACTACAACAGCTTGTGAAACACCATGATAGGGAGGAACAAAGTGAATACACTGAGTCATAAAGGACCAGCAGGATGTCGGTTCACCTTAGTGAGTCTTTGCCCTGGAGAGAAGGGAGGGGAATGCCACTTCAGGGTGACAGGATCAACTACCTGAAAGTCAGCAGATGGGACAGGGAGGGGCTCCTCTTAAAGTCAGGTGTGCCAAGTCCACATATGGTTTTTGGGCACCTTCAACCAGGACAATTTCCTGAGTCAGAGGGACAGGCTGGGTTGTTCCTCAGGAAACTGTTGGTGGGTGGGAGGGGTGTGGAGGGTGGATACGCCTGGGATGAGGCCACTGGAGGAGCAGGAGGCAAGCCTTGCTATATATATTTCCAAAAGAGAGAGCAGAGAGAAAGGCAGAGAGAAGGGAAAGAAAAAGAATTTCAGAGGATTTAGAGATGGATTTGATATAGTCAGTGAAAAGGTCCAGAACCCCCTGAGGCCTCTGGCTTGGGCAAAGGTATTCGTTTTTCTAAGTTTTGTACAGGTTTTGAGCAGTGAGATTAGAGAAAGAATGTGCATGCATAGGGAGCTGTAGTCCTTTCTGCACAGTGCCCAGATTCCATTAAGACATTTCCCCAAACCCTTGGGGGCAGGAAGGGTGACAGTCACTTGCTATCTGATGTCCTGACTGTCCAGCTCGGCTTTTCTATTGCATGAGTCCTGAGACTGAACTGCGCATCCTGAGCATTCGTTGCGCAAGAAGCTGAAGGCTGGTCCCTGGCCAGGGAAGGCCGCCCGGCCGGACGCGCGGGTCCCGCCCTGTGTACCGCCCTGCCTCGGACCGGAGCATCAGGTGGGGCCCAGGGTACGGTCATTCGAGGCTGAGGCTCCTCTCCTGCACCCCACGGGCCGCAGGCAGTCCGTGGACACTCTGGCCAGTGTCCCGATGCACTGCAGGCTCCGGCCAATCGGTTGGAGGCGGCTTGGTGGGGGAGACCCCTAGGGCGCACGCGGCACCCCAATCTCCTCCGCACGGAACGGACTTCTTAGCGCGCGGAAGCCGGGAACTCCCTCCGGGGCTCGGCCCCAGCCTCTCGGGGACACGCGGCAGGCCAGCAGACACCGGCCCCGGTCACCGGGGACTGCCCTCCGGGCCCCCCAACTTGGAGACTACAAGTCCCAGCAATCCCCGTAGCTGGCACCTCCCGCCTCGCAGCGGAGACCCCCGGCCATCCCAGCTGAGGGGCTTGGGCTGCGCTCGTGGCCGGACCGGGCCAAGCGGGGAGGCCGGTCCCGCGGGCGGGGGCGGGGGCGGCTCCGCGGCTTCTCCCGCCGCCGCCGCCAAGGGGAGTTTCCAGGAAGTGGCCATATTGGATCCATTCAGCCGCAGCCGCCCGGGCGGAGCGCGTCCCGCAACCGGCTTGTCCCCGTCGCGGCCCGGGTGTCGCCCCGGCTCGCCCGCCCGGTGCGGAGCTCGCCATGGCGGCCACTGACCTGGAGCGCTTCTCGGTGAGGGCCCTGCTGGGCCGCGGCGCGCGCGGGAGGCGCGGGGCGCGGGGANAGCGCCAGAATCCAGGGTGCGATTCCAGTGGGTGCCTCAGTGGTCGGATCTGAGGCGGCCGTTCCCCAGGAACTGGAGCGATTCCACATTCAACCCAGTGGATGTTTGTTTGGGCCCCAGACCGGGTATGCCTTCTGCAGGGGTATCGTCTCTGGTGGTCCCTGCAGAGGCCTCTTTGGGCTTGAGCCAGCCAGTAACCAACTTCCCAAAGGTTTTTATAATCTGTCCCCCCACCCCACTCCCCCCGGGGAGAGAGGCCTTTTGGGGATCTTATCTGCATGTCCCCCAATGTCTAAGGCTGGATTTGGGTGTGTCTGGGAGGTTGAGCTGTGACAGTGAAGGAAACTGTGTCCTCTTGCCAGCATGTGAGGCCCTGGTCGGTGCTAAGGGGGAGGAGGGCCCAGGGATGTTGTGGGTAGTGGGTAAATGCTAAATATGTGACTGATAAGGAATTGGTTCTGGGGCTAAATAAGGAATTCAGGACTTATGTAATTAATGCTATAAATATTGCCATCTGAATTTATATATGTAAATTTTCTCTTTAATCTGAAAATACATTTGTTGGTCTATTTTGGAAACATGCGTAACTAAAGCAGGAACTCTTGGTGTCATAATTTTAGACTTGAATGTTTTATGAAGGGGTTGCGAGTCAGTATAAATACAAGGAGGAGCAGATTCAGAGGTTGGGCAAATCAGAGATTCACCCCAGCCCTGCACTCTGAACAAGAATTTATGTACCCCAGGAGGGCTGTGCCTGAATCCCAGCAGACTTGCTGGTTAGCTGGAGACCAGCAGACCTGTGTGTGTTTGCACATCTCTGCCTGCATGCCTGTGTGCATTTTCTGTGCCCAGCTGACCAGAAAGTTATGTCTGAGTCTTGTCTTTCTGTGGCCAGAGGTTGCTGTAACAGTTGGTCTTGCAGGTGGGAGAGGTATGCAGAGTAACTGGAATCAGACTGCCTGACAGGAATCCTAGATTACTACTTGTTGGCTGTGTGACCTTGGGCAAGTTGTTTAACCCCTCAGTATTCTCATCTGTATAATGGGATAAAAATACTACCTCCCTCATAGGGTTATAGGAAGGATTTAATGAGAGGGTCCAGATGAGGTACTTAGAACAGTGTCTGGCACATGATGAAGACACAGGAAATGATACATGATACTTAGTACCCATGTGGATGTGAAGACTGGCCCTCTGTGTAAGAAGGTAGCAGAGAATGAATTTGCTCTGTTCCAGGGCACCCTTCCTAGGGGCTCCCACCACTACCCACCCAGAGATTATCCTCAGAGGCTGAGCTGAGGGGTCTAGCTGCCGTGCCAGGCGATGGGCTGGAAAGGCTCTTCACCTTAGATTCCTGTCTTTGCAAGGATTTCAGGTATTATCAACTTGCTAATAATGACTGAGGCACAGAGAGGGGGCCGACTCAAGTAAGGATGTACAGCCTGAGTTCAGGATGGATACCTTCCACGCCCTTCACACTGAGCCATCAGCCTCCTGGGAGGACTTGGACATGGTTGAATTTGGGTGGAGACCTTGGGTTGGGTTTGGCCTGAGTCTCGGAGCCTGGACTCCATTCTCCTCTCCTGTCTTGTCATCCTGGGAAAATGATTTCTTCCTTTCTCCTGCTGTAAAGTCGGAACAACCCTACTGATACTCTTCAAAGCATTTATGAAGATAATTGCAGTCTGTGACATGTTTGGAGATATGTTTAGCTGTCTTACCAGCTGCAGGTTGAACTGGGTGTTAATCAGTGGCCATGAGGTTATAATTTGATTGAGCTGTGGCAGGTTGACACTGTTCCTCAGGCTAGCTTTGTGGTCAGACCAGCTCAGGAGGACATGGGAATTGTCCCAACCTAGAGCTTAGATGAGCATATAGAATGATACTTTTTCTTGGGGGCGGGGGAGTCACATTGCATGAAATGTGTGATTTTAGCTCCCTGACCAGAGATAGAACCCACACCTTCTGCAATGGAAGCATAAAATCCTAACCACTGGACTGCTAAGGAGGTGCCTGGAATGGTACTTTGAGGTCAGTGTGTGCTGGGTTCCTATTGTCCACAGGCTGAGCGACCTTTACATTTTGACTGGGCCTTGCTCAATCCTAGATCAGCCCTGAGGTTATGATCAAAATCTCCTAGGATGTTCATGTCTGGGACAGCCCTCTGGGGAGTCTGTTGCCTCTTGCCCTCCTTGGGCAGCCAGATTCCTATCCACTCTTCCTCTGCCCTTCCTCCTTACTGGATCCTAGACTCTTTTTCTGTCCCAGGGGCCATCGTCTGTGCCTCTCCTGTCAGAATCTCATGGGGCAGGGTTCAAACTCCATGGTGGGGGAGGACCGAGGAGGGGCTGGAGAAAATGAAGATCTGAGGAAGAGAGGGAAGAAACGTGTGGCATGGCAGCCTGGAGCCTGGCACTCCTCCCAGCCAGTCACTCCCCTCCCACCCCCATCTCCACTTTATCCCCAGCGCCATCTGTCACTTCCCTTGTCACCCCTGTAATCTTGACACTTTCCCAAGAAGCAGGCTATCCAGGGAATGCCTATTCTGTCCCCAAGACAAGAGCTGGTGGGAAGGAATGTAGAAAGCAACCCCTTACTCAAGTGGGGGTGTCACAGAGGGTGTCTCCCTGTCCTATAAAAATGGCCAGAGACCTCTCTGCTGAGCTATTCTGAAGAAGTGAGAACTGAGCAAGGGACATCGGTGCAGCTCTCAGTGCCTGGTGGTGGGGAGGGGCCATACATGAGCACCACCTGCAGAGCTGAAGCCCCACCCCCTGCCCCTGGGAGGTTGGTCCACCCTACTCTGCCCCCCGCTGTCCATGGGCTTTGTACCATGCTGTGGGTGCTCACTTTAGAAAGGTCTGCCCAGGATCTGCATTGGAATGGACCAGAGCAGGCACACTGATGAGGAGGCGCTGGTGATCCAAGGGAGCACATGACAAGGGATTGACCAGAGCAGGAGCAGAGAGGGTGGTAAGAGGGAGACCGGCCACAGTGCTAACAATGCGGGAGAACAAATGGAGGCTGGGAACCCAGGGCCAGATATTTATCAAAAGCTTTGGGTGGCAGGGAGGGTACTGGGTGCTTTGTGTCCGTCATCTTGATGCCAGCAGCTCGCAGTTGGGTGAGATGCAGACTCTGAGGCCTGAGACCTACCCTCAGCCCCCAAGAACCCCTTGTGATGACAGAGAGGGTGGAGCCCTCTTGAGTTTGGAGCCCAAAGATGAGCTAGGTGGAGGTATGTGTTGGGGGCAATAACCACCACGAAGGTTTCTGTGGCTCTGGTCCAGCTACCAGAAGGAAGCTGCTGCAGGATGACGGAGCAAAGGGCCTGAGGACTGGCTGGCCTCTGTGTGTCCCCTGCAGCCTCTCCGATCTTCCTGCTTCTCTGCTGCCGGTTTGGCTCTCTCTCAGGATCCCCAGTCCCGGCCTCCAAGGCACAGGCTTTGCCAGACAACCGGGTATGGAGCTCTGCAGGCAGGAGGGAGACACGTGTGCCTGGGGAAAGGATGCCTCCCAAGGTCGACATGCCCTCATGATAGAGCTGGGCTGTTCTTTACTGGAGCTGTCTGCATCCTCAGGGCTCACGTGAGGAACTGTGGCTGGGAAGAGGTGGTGGACGACAAAGCACGGGGCGTGTGGGCTATTAGATTCATCGCCCCTGATGGCATTGGGGCAAATTAGATATTCTCCTCCTCAGAACACAGGGCTTGCAGATGGTTCTTGGTCCTTCTCTTGGAAGCTGCATTAGAGGGACAGAACCAGGGGAGGAAGTAGTAAGAGCCTATTTCAGATCACAGGTGCTGGCTTCTTTCTGAAGGCTCTCCTGGGCTTGGGCCACCTGAGGGCTGTGGTTCGAGAGGGCCATGGATCCAAGTCCACTGACCAGATCTGGCTGTGGGGCCTGGGTGCGAATGTGATGCTCTGTCTGGTGCTGGGGTGAATGGTGCAAGCAACAGAGAAGCATAGCCGTGCTGCCCTGAGCCCCTGCTGGCTCACATCAATGCTCATGTAGTTCTCTGCTTCTTCCCGGCACCGGCATCCGTCCAGGGGCAGGAGGGGGGCATGGTTACCTTTGCTGCCCGTATTCTTCTTTCCAAAGTTCACTGTGGGACAAAGGCCACCTCTGTCCCACGATGTCTCGACCCCTGTGGTCGTCCCTGCTGCGGGGAAGTCCCCAAGTCCCAAGTGGGAAAGTATGAATGCCTGGGCTTGCAGTACCTTCTGTGGCCCAGAGTGCCTTCCCCATCTGCTGTGTGGTGGGATGGACCATTCCCTCCCACGGGAGGCACAACACCACAAAGTCTAGGGGCATTTTTGTGTCCTGGCTCTGGGGAGGGCTGGGTGGGCCCAGAGGCTGATAACTGGGCTCTTGGCTTCTTGGAAACCTGATTCTGACATGAGAAGTGTGAAACAAACCATCCCAAATTACGGAATGGCAGTCCTGGCTGTCTGTGTGCACAAGAGGGGAGGAACGTGCTCTCAGTGAAACAGGGAAGCAGGGAGACTGAAGTTTTGGGGTCAGGGCACTGGGTGGCTTTGGACTCCTAGGGATAGTTTTGCTTCCAAAGCCCCTTCACTTCTCAGGCTGGGGGAGAGGATGACTGGCCTTGAGAGAGTGACTGGCAGCCTTCTCCTGGGGCCCAACTGCCACCTTGCCATTCTTACCTCTTCTGCTATTGTGCAGGCACCCAGAAGGCTGATCCTGGCTTGTGTCGTCTCCCCGGGTTTGTTGCCGCCATAGGAGAGAGACACTTTGGTTCTCTGGTGTCCTCTTGATTGGGGACAGGTATATTCTGCCTGTGTTCTTCCCTCCTGGTCCAGGGTGGCAGTATTCCCCCCTTCCCGCCACCCCCATCCCACCCCACGCACATCCCTGTGGTTATTTCCCGTCACCTTTGACCTGGGTTTAGAGGCTTGCTATGGAATCCTGGGACTAGAGCCTAAG